GAACCCATGGGCCCCTAGTATGGGCCCTTAACCCTGGGACCCTAATATACCTACTATATACCCTATATATACCCTTAGGGGACCCTAGAATCCCCTAAGGGCCCATGTTAGGGGCCCATGGGTTCAACCTTAGAATGGAAGATTCATGGACCGCAACCTTCGCAAGTAAGCCATCCACCTGGAAATCCAGTAGGTTTAGGGTTTAGGGTTTAGGGGTTTAGGGTTTAGGGGTTTAGGGTTTAGGGTTGATAGGGCCTTGTGATTTATGGTTCCCTTGCTTTTTGGCACCTTTTTTTTACGCTAGGTCGAGGACCCACTACATTGACTATCCAACGTGATCTTTTGTTGGCTCAGCCAGCTTTATCATAGTCAGGGTTTCGCCAGGAAAGAGGCAACCAAGCAGAGGACCTACCGCTAATACAGGGGCCTTAATAATCAGAATAGGGTTTTGAGGCCCATTATACTATGATTATAAGAAGGAACCCCCCAAAATAGTATATGTGATTCTTTAGGGCCCTACATTACACCGGAAAAACCCTGACGGGTGTTTGCTGCCTCGGCGCATGTGCGACTTCAGATGCTTTGCATCTCATGGAGTTTCGGGGGCATTCCCAGAGGGTCCATATATACTGCTACTACCGCTAAACAGAAAAAAAGTTCAACCCTTGAACCCTTCTGGAGGTCTGTAGACATATCCCCGTATACTGTGGACTAGATAAACCCTAAACCCTAAACCCTAAACCCTAAAAACCCTAAACCCCTAAACCCTAAACCCATAGATCCGGTCCGCTGTTTTTGAGGCCCTAGACCAAGCCCGTCAAAGCCCCTCCAAGTTCTAACCGAACAGCCCTGAGACCCCCAAACTCGGTTTAGGGTTTATAGGGTTTAGAGTTTAGGGAACAGGGTTTAGGGTTTAGGGTTTAGGGTTGTTTGTTGTTGTGGGTTTAAGGAACCCTATACCCCTAAACCCTAAACTCCCCCTGCAGCCCAGGCTGTCCATTCTCTAAGCGATTGCTTCACACAGTCGCAGGCTCATTGGCTGCAAGTGCGCGCTGAAGCTCTAAACCCTAAGCCCTACGCCTTAAACGCTAAACCCAAAGCCCTAAACCCTAAATCCTAAGCCTAAGCCCTAAACCCTAAACCCCTAAAGCCCAAACTTGTGACACTTGGCTTTGATTTTGGGGTTTATAGGGCCTGGGTCTGGTTTAGGGTTTACCAGGACCCCCCAAGTACCCGTTAATAGAGCCCTTATCGTCCTTAATAGTGGGTATCTAGGGTATAATAGAGGGTAGGTGGGGTGTTGGTAGGTCTAGGGTTTAGGGTTTTGGTTTATGGTCAATGCATTCATACTGACGACAAGGACTACTACCACTACTGCAACCACCGCGACCACAACACTATTACCAGTAAAACCCTAAACCCTAAACCCCAGCAAGACTATTCCTACACCCACGTACCCAAGTGTTGGGTATTCGGACCCGGAAAGCTCTGAACTCCTTAGCCAAAGCCTTTGTCGAGTCCAGGCGGCGTAGCGGCTTCCTATGAAGGGAAGGCGCGGTGGTGCCCTAAACCCTAAACCCTAAAGCTTAAAGTTCTGCGGGGTTTCGGAGTTTGAAAGCTAATTGTTCTCAGATTTTTGGAGCTTAGAGTCTATACCAGGACCCCCCCAATGGCCCTTCAATACAGCCCTTATGGTCCTGAATAGTGTATTTAGGGTAGAATAGAGGGTAGTTCGGGGGTGCTGGTAGGGTTTCGGGACTGCGTGCTTGCTGTGCCTAGGGTAGCCAAGGTGCGCTAACAACAGCGAGATATGCCAGTTTAGTTAGGCTTATGTGCCGTTTTGAGCCAACTGCACAGGCCATTTTTGGTCGGGGTTTAGGGTCGGAAAAATTCACTCAAAAGTCATGCGGTGCAGGGGTTCAGTGCTGTACTCTTGTTGGTTATCTTGGGGGAGGAGGGGCGTGGGGGTGGGGGTGGGTTGGGGGGGGGGGGGGG